GACCCAAAATATATAATATGTATCGTGAAGTGGGAAGAAACTGCCTGAAAGGAAAGACAACTGAGTGGAGGAGAGGAGAAAAGAAGGAAGGAAAAAGCAAAAGAAAAAATACATGTATAAAAGATAGTTAAAATGGTTATACTACTAATTGTTATTAGCTTACTGAAAGGAAAGGTATATGCCCATATTACTTGATCAATTTTTTCATGCCTATATCTTGTAATATGAGCAACTACTTTGAAGATAATAGTATGCAATACACCAACCATTGTTATTCTCCTACAATCTTGTTTTATTGCTTATTTTTCTTTTTTTCCTTTCTTTAATATAAAATAAAATAAATAAAATCACTGAGATCATTTGATGTGTTTCTCTACCACTCAAAACAATGTCTTCAGCTTCTGTTTCCCAAATTTATTTTCACAGTTGATTTGGCTTGGGTCTAGACATCTCCTCCCAAGCCCTCATGTGGTCGTAGGTGGGGCTTTTCAGAGGTGGATGGATCTAAAGTGTGTGATGCTGGAATGAAGAATGTGTGCTACGAAATTATTCAAGTGATTGGTTTGGTGCAGTTCTCAGTATGGATAAAGCGAAGGCCCACCCTGGGTTGAGTGGTACCTGCCCTAAGAGTGTGTAGTCTGGATAGAGCAGAAAGGACAGAAAATGAGCTGCTGTCACTGCTTGCTGCTTTGATACTTTTGTTGCTTGTTGTCTTCTGCCTGCCATGAAGTATTTCTCCTCTACAGTATCTCTCTGCTATGCTTCCCTGCCTAGGAGCCAGCCAAATAGCAACTGGAACCTTTAAAACTTGTGAGCTATGATAAGCCTTTCCCCCTTCAATTTTGGGTGTTGGGTATTTTGTCTCAACCATGAAAAAAATAACTAGGATGATGGTTAAAGCTAGTATTGGTTAAATGCAGTCAATTATATTTTATTTCTTTTCTGATATTTTATTTATTCTTTTTTATATTAACATTGATATGTGTTATTGAAGGGAAATCAAATGGAGCGTAATTGCTTAAATATTATGTTGCAAGGCTGGGTTTAAGAAGGAGGTATAGCTATAAAGTTTTAAAACTACTGGAAAAATGGATTCCCAGGCTCTCTGGAAGGTCACAGGGTCTTGGTTAACTTATTTTTCAAATCACTAATTTTAAAGACGAAATGTGAGCTTAATCATCTACCAGTGAAGACACTGCAATTATTCCATCAAAATAGAGGTTAGATGATATAAAAGATATATCATTTCCCTTTCTTCCTTGAATTTTCCTTTGAAATTTCAGATTATTCAACAAGAAGCTGTACAAATACCTTAAGGGAAGCTCTACAAATATACTGAGCCAATCACTAATCATACATTAGTTATCCTGAATGATACTTGAATTTGTCAAAAAGCAATAAAAGAGACATTTGTATGGAATTTTTTGTTGTTTATTTTATTTATTTATTTAACTATCTATTTATTTAGTATGGTGTTAGGAATCAAACCTAGGGCTTTGGCAGTTCCAGAAAAGAGCTCTTCCACTGAGCCATTTCTCAAGCCCTTTCATTATTTTTTAAAATTAATTTTATTGAGAAAGAAATAGCAATGAGACATTTCAAAACAGATCAGTAGGACGGTTACAATAATTAATACATTGCATATAGTTGTCTTCATAGTAGTTATTCATAGTACAAGATGCAGACATATCTTGTCTAAACACTATTAATACAAATCTTTCCTTTTATTGAACTAAGAGAAAGTAGCTGTATAACAATCCTAATTTGTATATACAGATATATATATATGTATATATATATATATAATATTTCACTACAAAAGGGTCCTTCATTTATATCCCCCCTTCTTTGTTTAGTTTTTTTCAGAGATGGGTATTCTATTGCCATTCAAATATTGTATATGGAATTTTAATAATAAGAATGCTGAAGAAAATTGGATTCGTGGTGTTTCACAGTTATGCCTGGCAGATGCTGTTGGCAGACACGTCCACCTTCTTTCCTGCTAACAAAAGCCTCTCCTATTCAGTTAGAGGCACGTCCTTGAACCCAAGAGGGATACCTCTGATCCTGCTTTATCAGATAAATTGTAATTAACTTACAGTGGTTATCATAATCTCAGTTCCCTGCCCCCCTTCCTTCACCTTCATAATTCATCAACTGCAATCTTTGCAG